TCTTCTCCTCCGTATCAACAAGATGCGAAGCAAAGGCACTCTTACGAGCGAACTCGCGCTCGTACTCGTCCACTGAACGCTCACCCTGCTGGAGAGCGGCAAACTCCCGTGCCATCCTCTGCTTGAAATGGCGAGGATAGAACTTGTCCTCCAGTATCGTCTTAAACTGAGCCCATCTCATAGTATCACGCTCATCCTCAGTGCGTAGACGCCAATAATCCTCCCACCAGTCTCCGGCGGCTCCTTTTATCTGCAGTTTGGCGCACGCCATCTTGTGCGCCTCAGAAATCCCCATAATACGGAAGATCCTATCCATCTTCCGGATCCACTCAGCCACGGCTAACGGGCCACTCTCCCCAGTGAAACGGGGCGGATCATAGGTACAGAATCGGCTGACCACAACAGCCTGGTCTTGCTCAACTGGTGCCTGGGGATCTCTACGCGGTGCCATTCTGAAATTCTGGAAACGCTTGAATTGATTAGTATAGCCGATTAAGAAATAGCCATACTACTCTTGAAATAATAAAATCAAATAAATGATATCCGAAAACACCTAGCTTGGCTAGAGTTCCGATATACTTACACTTTCTATGTTCTGGCTCGTACTAGAGTTCTGACTTAGTCTAGAGTCCTTGGACTTAGCTGTTCTAGAGTTCTATCTAGAGTTCTTATCTTAGCTTATCTTTCTAGAGTTCTCCATCTAGAGTTCTTTCTTTTCTTATAGGAGGATAGTTATGTAGGCCCCATACTTGAACTGAATTTAGCACTTGCAAAACTTAAACTGAGTCAGGTGACTTACCTCGGAGTCGGCGCGGATGAGCGTGGCGTGGTCATGCTTTTCTAAACTTTGAAAGGATACAGAAACGCAAATCTGCGCTCTGATACCACCTTCTGTCACACCCCGCCTTACTACTAGCTTTGAAAAATCAGAGTAAAATTTTTGTTTTTATTTTCGAAAGAACGTGCGAGCTGGGTTTTCGAAAATACTGACTTATTGCGGGATGTGGCAGATAAAAACTTAAACTGAAACTTGGGCTTGCCCACAGACATAAAAAAACATGCAACCAAACTGTCCGCTCGCGGATTATGGAATTATACATGCATAGTCTGTACTGTCTCGCACTGTCTAAAAAAACTCGCTGGCGGAAGCATCCGAAATACGAATACATAACATGCGTACATAAACTGAATAAAATACACATGATCATAAATCTAGGACATAAAAATGCTGGTAAAATATGTCCGACTCTCATGACCACGCTGCGCCACATCTGTGCTCATCCGGCACGCTCGACTCCGTCTCCTGAAAAACACAATGGGGGCGTGAGCAAACCACTATGCTCCGCAAAGACCAGTACTGAACAAAACATCATCTATAATAACGTATCATGAAACATAAATATATAAGAGCTGAAACTGTAAACTGATCTCTGATGTCTGTTCTGATCTGTGGTCAAAAGACCCTCGGCCGTAGCCGCTCGTGTGCACACGCCGATGGGGTAGAAAGGGCCTCGCCCCTCCCAACGGTCATCAGGTGGGTATAAAGGCCTCGGCCACCCAACCCGGAACTAAACTGTCTCAAACATACCTCTGCCATGGTACAGATATTATCTATGATGTGACATCCAGTACATGACCCCCACCTGAAAAACTTGAAATCTGGTATGCAAGTGCGGAAGCTGGAGTAGCGGTCGGAGGCTCGACTCTCCTTAGGCTACATAAATATTTAAGCAAAATAATGCTAAGTATAATGCTCAGAATATTTAATTATATGCTAAAATGCTCGGACTTATCTACGCGATTAAACTGGACTGGACTGGCTCGGAAAAATACTGAAATTTCCGGTACTGGACTCGGATCAGAAATAACGAATCAAAACTGACTCGAACCGCCGGTCGAACCGGCCGGTTCGCTGGCTGGCCGGACCGCCGGCTCGACTGGGCCGGGCGGTCGGGCTGGGTTCGGCTAGACCGGGCTCGGTCCCGTGCCGGGCCAGCTGGTGCCCGGGCACGGCGCTGGGCACGGCTGGTGCGACCGGGCTCGGTCCCTGGTGCCGCTGGACTTGGCTAGGCGCGGACTGGCGCTGGTGGGCACGGCCAGGGGCTGTTGGCACGGCCCGGGCACGACTGGTGCCCCTCGGGTGCGTGCTGGGCACGGCCGAGGCTCGACTGAGGCGCTGTCGTGCGGCTGGGCACGGACAGGCACTGGCCAGACACTGCTGGCACGGGGAAGGCACGGACAGAGACCACACGGGCGCTGCCGGGTGTCCCCGAGGTCACTGGGCACTCGGGCATGCTGCTGGGGCATGCACCGAGGCCAACTGGGCTCAGCTGGCCCGGTTCGGGTCAGCCCTGGACTTGGCACGAGGCTCTGGCACGAGACCTCGTGCACTGGGGCTTGCACGGGCGCTGCCGGGCGCCGAGCGCATGGCTAGGCACGCTGGGTGCCATGGCCACGCGTGCTGGGGCTACTGGTGCTTATGCTTGGCACACGGGCATGCATTGGGCGCTGCGGGCGCTGTTGCGTGCACGCGGGCTGTGCCTCGCGCCTACCGGGCGCGGGCACTGGCTTAGGCTACCCTCTGCAGGCACGGACAGGCACTAGGGCCGGGCACTACCGCACTACATGCGCGGACAGTGACCAGGGTCGGCCCTTGCCGGACCTCCGGTGACTTTTCCGGTGACATTCATGACATAACAACTTTATATGATAAATGTGCTACAAAAATGCTAAGAAACACTAGTGGACCCCGGGTCCACTTGCATGTTCACTCGGTAGGGCTTATACGGCCCGTATGAGCACTTGACGTCCGAACCAACATACATAACTTGAAAAACTACTCAGGGCCGAATGTTATACATGTAAATTCATGACTATAGAGGCTAAAACATGTGGCACATATTGCATGCAATGAACTAGGGTTCGGGTCCCCATTTTAACATATTTTCGAGCATGATTTGACCAAGGCAATGAACTCATTTTATTCTCAAATTTTTACATCATCAATGGTATGATATTTGAGGGTGTTTAAACAAAGAAATCTCGACTTAGACATGCTTCCTACTCGAATTTCATTTTTAAGGTCATTTATTTCAAAAATTCGTAACTCACATATAATGACATGAATGGCTCGGTTTTTCTTCATGAAAAATCTTAAAATGTCATAAAATAATTAATGGAATCAAAAATCCCGAGCTTACCTTGGTTAAAAATGGAGAAATCGAGTTAGAGCTCAAAATAGGGCTAGTCGTGGCTTTGGAGGTTAAGCTCACTTTGTGGTGTGATTTGTTCGAGCCAATCAACTCTAAAAGGCTTAGAAAATTCTAAAGAATACTTAGAATATGCTAAGCCTCGAGAGATTATGGCTGGAACACGAGGTGGCTGCCTTCTCTCCTTCCTTGGGGCGCGCGCGCGGGCAGCAAGGCTGGTAGCTTTGCTCTCGGTTTTCTCCTCCCTCCTAACTATTTTTCTCGAGCTCCAATTTTTGTAAGAGCTTAAAATGGACTAAGGGAGGGGTCTTAAATAGGTGTTGAGGGCGGAGCTTACTATGTTGGTCAAGGAAGACCAAAGATCATGAGTTTGCCTCATTTTATGTGCATAGGAACTTGAGGGTGTTGGGGCATCTTTGCATGAAATATTTGGGTGGAATGGCAGGTCCTTTAGTGTATAAAAATGAGGTCAAATGGGGTCTGGTCCCAAGTGCACGAAATAGGGGGGACAAGGGCTGCACAAGTGATTAAAATATTCACTAGCCCACATGCACTACCATTATAATAATCCCCATGTTCATTGTCTTTGCTTAAACATTTCTTAGGGCAACTTAAGCTTAATTAGACCCTCATTAGGTCCTAATTACACGCCTGAGTTGGGCCATGAGGAAAGTGGGCCGAAAAATGGTGTTTTGGGCCTTAGAAGCTGGACTGGTCGCGCTGGGCGCTGGGCCCTGGGCGCGGGGACGCGGGCTGGGCGCGAGGGCGCGGCTGGGCTGCGCGGGAAATGGTGCTGCTCGGGGAAAATGACTTTGGGCTGAGTTGCAAGGGTTGGGAAAGGCTTCCAACACTTAGAAAATTTTAGGGAACTTATGCCAAGGCTTAGGACAAGCCTTGGGCTCGGTAGGCACGTGCTTGGCACGGCACGAGGCGCGGGTGCGGGGCTCGGCACGGGCGGCTCGGGTGAGCACTAGGGCTCAATATAAAATGTCCAAAGCTCGACTTTGGTATTCTAACACACTTAGAAAAATATTCTAAGTATTAAAATATCAACTCTCAATTTTTTTGACTTAGGAAAATATACTCGGAACGACAACTAGGGTTCGTGTCCGGTAATTTCTCGAATTGACTTGCTATTATTTAATAACCCCAATTAATGGATTAATCTTAACTTATACCTGAGATAGAATTATTCAAAGAATAATTTATCATGTTTGAGCATTTAGCATAAATAATATAACTAGATAATTTCTGAAAATTACGGATTTCACTTATAGTCGAGCAGTGAAACCGTTCTGAATATTATTACTGTTTTGGGGCGTTACATCAGGATTATGAAATTTCAAGAAGTTTGGACTGTTGACTTGGAACACAATAATATGCTGTGAATTATAAATTTTCATAAGTTACAACTTCTAGTACATTTTAACTATACACATGTGTGCTTTCTCCTAAGGTTGTATTATCAAGATGCAGATTGCTAATTATGAATGTCTATATATTGTAAAGTTAAAATTCTTGTACATTTTGACTATACATATTGCAAATTATGAATGCATGTAGGTTGTAAAGTTACAAATTACGTATTTTTTAACAATATTGGAAACAAAATAAATGTTTTAACCAACACATAGTAAATATATGGAAGAATTGGTTCAAATTGTTAATAATGTTGGTTTAAAATATTGACTTCTTCCAATTCTCTTTGATTTAAATATTGTTTCTATGATTTTAACACCCAAAAAAAACCTCAATTTTGTAGTGTGAAATTATTGGTTCAAAATGTTAATAATGTTGGTTCAAAATATTGAATTCTTCCAATTCTCTTTGATTGAAATATTTTTTCCATGATTTTAATACCTCAAAAAAAGTTAATAACCTCGATTTTTCTAACAGGTTGAGCTTGTTGAAGGATCATCCTACCTTGGTCAACCACTCCTATTCTCCATAACTACATTGATTTGGATCGAGGTGCTTGTTATCGGGTACATCGAGTTCCAGAGGAATTCGGAGCTTGACCCGGAAAAGAGGCTCTATCCGGGCGGGTCGTACTTCGACCCGTTGGGCCTGGCTGCGGATCCTGAGAAGAAGGCCATGCTACAGCTGGCTGAGATTAAGCATGCCCGTCTTGCTATGGTTGCCTTTTTGGGCTTTGTAGTCCAAGCAGCGGCTACTGGTAAAGGCCCACTTAACAATTGGGCTACCCACTTGAGTGACCCGCTCCAGACGACCATCCTTGACACATTCGGCTTTTTCTCTTGAAGGCACATTATTTTGCTCCAATCTGTTTTGTATGTGTAAAAATTATGAATTGAGTATCATTATAAATGTGTTGAGTTCTCATCTGTCTTTGTAAAAACTTGAAATACTGCTGACTATTATTTGACATGCATAATTTAGTACTTAAGTTGTGATATTGATTGTCAATCAAGAGCAATAAAGAGAACAATGCACACCCCTAAATTCAGAAAAAATAAATTTAGTTTGAATGCATCTTCAATTAATTTTATTTTTAGTGTAATCTTCAGTTTTTTCTATGGCGCCATTGATGGTGTTTCATCAAGTTGTGACAATTTCAAATCCATCAATTTTATCAACCCCAAATGAATAAACACGTCGATTATATTCTTTTACCTTATGAACGATAATGGTTGACACGACTGGAATTTGAAAATAATACGGAATAATTGAAAAATACGATTATAGAGATAAATGACACGACGTATATAAAATTATTTACGAGCTTTATCATTTACCAATTTACACTTCTGGTTTTTGACTTATGTGATTCATTGCCTACTTCATGTAAGAAGTAGATGAACTAATTTTAAAAATAAGTGGTTTTTAACTATAAGGTAAGCTTGGTGACACTATTAAATAATGTTATTTGTGTATTTTTCTTCATATCAAGAAAAATGCATGTATTTGTTAGATTAACTTTGAATATCAAGGAAAATACATGTTTTTTTTTTTTTCAATTTTATTCAATATTTAGATTGTTTGGGGACAATCTTAGGGGTGTATTTCAATTAGAATTTATAAAGACTTTTTAAGACTTTAGAAATCTTGTTGTATTCAATTTAGATTTGTTAAGACTTTTAAAAATCCTGGGATATTCAATTGGGATTTTAAAAAATCTTACAAAAAACCTGAGGTATTTAATTTATTTGACACTAGGATTGGTTAAGACATTTTAAGATTTGGTGGAATTTCTAAACAAAAAATCTTATACGAAATCTTACTTCAAATTCCACCTCCAGACTTTAGATTTCACGGAATTTCTCTAAAATCTGAAAATATTAACAAATCTCAAATGTGTTATTATCACTAAATGGCCATATAAATATACAAAACACAATTTTTGGCCATATTTTATAAAAAATATCTTTTTTAGCCATTTTGACATGTAAAAATACTACTTTATCCTTTAAATCTTTCTTCATTTTCAACCATCAAACCAATTTTCCCTCTTTTTTTTTTCACCACAATCAAATTAATGTCTTCAGCAAACATAGAGAGAGAGGCACACCGAAACCCTAGCCACCCATTTCTGCTGCGAAGATGCAGATCTTCGTAAAGACTCTCATCGGCAAGACCATAACCCTCGAGGTCGAGTCCTCGTACACCATCGACAATGTGAAGGCCAAGATTCAGGACAAGGAAGGCATCCCGCCGGACCAGCAGCACCTCATCTTCGCCGGGAAGCAGCTCGAGGACGGCCGCACCCCCACCGACTACAACATCCAGAAGGAATCCAACCTCCACCTCGTCCTCCGCCTCAGGGGAGGAGCCAAGAAGCGCAAGAAAAAGACCTGAACAGGTCGATCGAGTTCGATTTGCAGCTGCAAGGTGAGGAGCTATTGGTGTTGGGGGAGAGGAGCAAAGTCGTAAGGGATGTGAACGCGCTGCCGTGGAAAGGGGGCAGCGAGGAAAGCGTGGACTACGAGTTTCTGAGGGCCGAGCTGCGGAAGATGGCGTGGACCAACGGGCAGGTCGTTCTTCTCTTCTGCCCGAGGTGTGGGTGTCCAATGTCGAAGCTCGAAGGGTGGGGGCCCGCTAAACTGGGCGGCGTCACAAGAAGTGAGTTGGGCTGTTAGGTTTTGGCTTGATTATTGCATTCTTGATCGCAATTTTGTTGTTCTTTTTCGTAATTTAGTTCTGGTGTTATAGCTTTCTGTCAGTGGATATATTTTCAAATGATTCACGTTATAACTTCTCTTCAGTGAATTTCTGGTGTGGTTTATGTTAATTTGAATGTGGTTTATTGCAGGGAGTTATTGTTCCTGTAATTATGCATTAGCTGGGATGAGGCTGCACTGGTTGTTGGCCTTGTGGCTCAGAAGTTGATGAACATTCCAGAAATTGTTTGAATGATACCGAAAATAGCTCTTATACTCACACACACACATACACACATACACACATATATATATACACATATATATTTTCCTTTAATGCTGTAGGCTTTCAAGGGCGTATAAGAAAATGCATCCAACAGTGCTCATGTTAATGCTCACCTCGCTATATCGGCTGCTATTCGTGATGTTAGCAAGCTTGTTGTTAAGGAACTCACTAGTTGGGTATGACAAACTCTTAAAAAAGTTTTATATTATTTGATTTTTTATACAAATTATTATATTTGGATTAATTATACTACACAATGGTTGTAAGATGAATGTTATGAATAAATAATTTTAACTTTGTTATGAACACTTTTGAAATTTGTTTGTAAACATGTTCAGCTTTGAGGAGCAAATGATGTGGTCAATTAACACATATTTGCTTTGCCATACGAGATTTATGTTTCATGTTTATATGAGATTGAGGTGTCAGGTTCCTCGAAAAAAATGGGGGTAGTTTGGCTATTGAATATACGATATCTGTTGTGGTTTGAGTAGTATAAAATCTCAGTGCCTCTAAAGTTGTAGTTCCAGTTATGGTTTGTTATATTGTGACCCTGAATTCCTTGTAGCTTCCAATATGCTTTTAAAATATCATGTACAGCTTTTTGCATGTGTAGGACTGGGGGAGTAGTACCCAATTTGGTGTTGCCAACTTAGATTCCATAGAACCATATGCTATTTCATGACTGCTTTCATGTATGCTTTGAGCCCAAGAATGGCATGTAAGTATAAATCTGATGCTGATAGTTGTTTGTATAGCAGGTCATCTATCTGCTACATGGCTACTCGTGTAGAACTTTTATTGTCAAATTCTCATATGCCAAGAAGTAGTTCATATGGAAATGCAATATTGGTAAAATAACTTCACTAAAAAGTATATGACTATTTAGTGGTAAAAATTGGTAAAGAGTACATTTTGTATGTTACGAATGCGACTTATCCAACCTTGTCTCCATATTGTTACTCTTTTTACCCCTATAATGCTGTGTTCCTAATATCTTTTAGCTCATCTGTAGATGCAATACTGCTTTTTTAAGAAAAACTAAAAATGGAACAATAGCGGCCACCAAGTTCATCTTCGTGCCCGACAAGGAGTGCCAGCGAGATCCGCCTCTGGCAGATCTTCGATTCCAACAGCGGCTGCCACGTGGAGCTCAATAGCCTGCTGAACAACCATCGTAACAGCGAGTTCTCTGAGCCGCTCACCTCGTTCGACTGGAACGAAGCCGAGCCGCAGAGGATAGGCACCTCCATCTCAAGCCTTGTCGCCGCACGCAGTACAACCGAGAGCTCGCACGCCGGCAGCCTTCACTCGAGCAGCCACCACTTCCGGCAACCAGAAGCAAGAGAGAGACGAGAGAAGGAAAGTTGGACCCCCTGCAGCAGCTTTGAGTGAATCCAAACCCGCCCAAAAGCCGAAGCCTTTGCACCATTTCAACCCAGCCGAAGCAGAGCCTTAGACCCGAGTCCTATTGTTGCACTATTTGGTTGAGCTTTTATGCGTGTATATGTTGTTATTATGTGTATCTATTTGAGGATAATTCTCAGTTCTAATAGCCTTTAAGTTGCCTTAGAAATTTTAGAAGAAAAATAGAAAATTGATGTTTGTGTGATGAGCTTTAAGCCGTGTGTTTAGCTTCATTTTGTGGAGTTAATTGCTGGTCTTTTTGGTGACTGTTAGCTTGCTGAAAGTGTATAATTTCATAAGTTACATTTCAGTTTTAAGGCCTTATGAAATGTGGTTTGAGCAGGAGAAAAAGAAAAGGAATTTAAAAGCATGCTTGCTTGTGTTTATGCTTGGTCTTTGTTTTTATGATTCCTTGCCGTAGCCTTTTTGGGTGTTTCAAGCTGTTATTGTGCATTAATTTTAGAGGTTTATTTCAGTTTGGAGCTCTAAGGGTGTGCTTGAAGGTTTTGAGAAAAAGAAGAGAAAAGAAATCATGATTATTGACATTCTCATACCAAAATCCACTATGCACAATTCTAACCTTTTCACACAACATCTATAAAAAAAGATACAAAGTATTTTAGTGACAACAATGTCAAAAAACATGTCTTATATATTATTCAATGTCTTATATAATAAAACAAATAAAACTTGAACCAGAATCGAATTTTGGGATCGATTTCTTGTACTAGATATCATTATGGGATCTAAAAATAATTCCAAAAATCATTTTGGGATTTCTGGGGTCCAGAACTCGTTTCTGGGGTACAGAAATCGTTTATGGGATTTCTTGCATTTTTGGGATCCAGAAATGGTTTCTGGGACCAGAAATCATTTCTTGTATTTTTGGGATTTCTGGGACTCACAAAAATCGATTTCCAGTCCCAGAAATCGATTTCTGAAACTAGAAATCATTTCTTGGATTTCTGGAATTTTTAGGACCAGAAACCATTTCTGGGATCGGAAATCGATTTCTGGTCCCAGAAATCGATTTCTAGAACTAGAAATAATTTAGTGGATTTCTGTGACCAGAAACTACTTCTGGGTCCCGAAATCGATTTCTGGGACTGGAAATCGATTTCCGGTCCAAGAAATCGTTTTTGTTTTTATTTTTTATTTTTTTGAAAGGTAGTAAGGGTATTTTTGTCTTTTTAAGTGCCAAAATGGCTAAAAAGAGTGTTTTTTTGCAAAATATGGCTAAAATTTGTGTTAGCCATTTGTACATGGCTAAAAAAAAAATTCACTGAAATCTTAAAAAGTCTCAAAATGTTACTTGAAATCCCAATTGAATACACCCTCCTTAACTAGTAAGAAAATATATATTTATTATTAATTTCTGGTAGGCGTTGGAACATTTCAAAATTTTCAATAGGAAAATAAGTGATCGACTAATTTTATGTTTGACTATTTCTTTGATTTGGTTAAAATAGTGGTTTTGATATAGGATGCATTAATTGTCTGTCCATATCATGAGGCTCCATCTTTATTTTGGCAGAAATTCTATTGTGCTCATACTGGCACCACAAGCCATGCCACAATATGAGTTGACATATTATGTGACTTTATTAATTTGATCTATAAATTCCAACATGGATATTAGGTGGCTTCCATGGTTGCGCTTATTTTGCATCAGACTCGATTTCCGGTGAGATTTTGTATGCAAATTTGCATTTTTTGCACCAGACTCGATTTCCTCTTGGAATCTGTCTCCATATCCTCCGGCTTCCATGGTTGCGCTTCGTTTTCGCGTTTGGGGGTCGCCAAATTGTGCGAGAATGTGTTGAATCAAGAACTATGGTTCAGTCCTCCGCCGGATTAGATTCTACCGCGCTGTGATTTTCTTAAGCATCGGCTTTTGAATCAAGAACTAGGGTTCTTCACAAGTCCAAGCCGAAGTCGATTGATTTCAGTATTGGGGCTTGCGTGATTGAGTCTTGGCAATTGAGGGCTGTGAAATTCTGTCGGCTTTAGCGGAGAAGAAAGGGAAAAAAGAATTATACATTGGTTTGGAGAGGAAGTTTCAAAAACTACATAGAATAACTCACGGGGAAGAGGAAAAAAGTGATATGTTTGGAGGAGGAAGTTTAAAGAGTTAAGAATAATTTTTGCAGCTTCAAGATTCAAGAAAGCATCGTTTTTCCAGTTTTCAAGAGTAATAATCCAGAAAGCACCAAAGAAGCTAGAAGCGGATTTGGGGGGAACAGGAACGAGAACGGATAATTAGATTTGTGGAACAGAATCTAAAATGTTTTGGTATGAAAAATCTTTAAATAAAAGTCACCTAATATCCATGTCGGAATTTATAGATTAAATTAATAAAGCCACATAATATGTCACCTCATATTGTGACATGGTTTATGGTGCCATATAGGCACCATAGAATTTCTGTTATTTTGGTGCAAATTTCTTTTATTTGTATGGGAGTAAGAAAAATCAGTCTATTCATAGGTAAACTTTCTTTTTTTTTTTTTCAATTATAATGATGATATAGTTAATTTTATTATTTCTATGAAACTAATCTAAAGGCATTTGTTTTCATGCCATATTATGCATATCACATCAGAATATTATTAGTTTGTGAATAAAAAAAAATTCGTTGACCTATTTGCATTGCTTATATTGCAATATTTAAATAATTTGGTCGTTCTTAATCATTTTATAAGTTATTGATTATTTATTTCACTTGGGATCTTCATTATTTAGTCACCAACTACAATCTCTCATTAAAATCAATAAACGTCATTATTTTTCCTAAACATCTTTCTATTTAACCATTCTTCCACTTTTGTTGAATCTTTTAAATGTACACTTAAAGCTCACTTTCTTTTTACTTTTTAGACTCACTTTCTACTTTTTAAATATCATTCAATCCATTAAATAGGCCAGTTGGCCCCGAAATTTTGCCTACTAAATGAATGGCCACATTAACATCATGTATCCATAGTATAAAAAAAAGATAAAAAAAAAATCATGTATCCATTTAGAGAAATATTACATTGTCAACCTAGTGTACAACCTTCTTTCAGGCCTACTGGAAGATTGTGGAGACTGACGTCGAGGAAACTGTGGTGGATTTCTTCTCAGGTCACCAGATGCCAGAATCCTTCACAGTGACCTCTATTGTTTTGAATTTTGATACCTAAGAGACCAGACCCGAGTTCCTGGTCTGACTATAGACCTATCAGCCTTTGTAATGTAACCAACAAGATCATCTCCAAGATCCTTAATGGTCGATTAGCCCCCCTCCTCCCTTCCCTCGTCTCTCCAAATCAGAGTGGATTCATCAAGGATCGAGTCATTAGTGATATCATTCTTCTGGCCCAAGAGATGATCCATGACATCTCCCATGTGAACCGGTTACGAGCCCCGAACCTTGTGCTGAAGCTAGATATGGCTAAGGCATATGATAGGGTCGAGTGGCCGTTCCTTAGGGAGGTTTTGTTCCGGATGGGCTTCCTCGAGCGTTGGATTAGTTTTGTGGAGGCGTGCGTGGAACACTGCACGTTCTCGATCCTTGTTAACGGTAGCCCTACTGACTTCTTTCCTTCCATCCGAGGTCTTCGGCAGTTAGATCCTCTATCCCCCTCTCTTTTTGTCCTGGCAGCGGATTACCTGTCTCGTTGCCTTGTCAGCTTCATTCGCGACTTTCCGAGGATGACCTATAGCACGCGTGGCTATGGTCCTCTCATCTCGCATCTCTCTTACGCGGATGACATTATTATCTTCACTCGTGCGGATAATAATGGACTGGCGGAGCTCATGCGCCTCTTGGGGCACTACAGCTCAGTGTCCGGTCAGCTTGTCAGTGTGCAAAAGAGCACATTCACCCAAGATCATCATATTGTGGACCAGTGGGACCATTGGGTTCACGAGCGCACTGGCTTCGCGTGCGGAGACCTCCCCATCACCTACCTTGGTGCCCCTTTGTACAAGGGCCACCTCTCGCATGAGCTCTTTTCTGACGTTAGACAGAGGATGATTGATTGGAGCTCCAGTTGGTCCCACAGACACCCCTCTTTTGGGGGCCGGCTTGCTCTGATCAAGAGCACCCTCAGCACCCTCCCGCTCCACCTCCTTACGGTCCTTGACCCCTACCAGTCTACTATTCACGAGCTATATCAGATTCTGGCCCGTTATTTTTGGGGCATGGGGAGGACTCTCAGAGAGGGAGACAGGTCCACTGGGTGAAGTGGATTCTATTTGTCGCCCCTTCTCTGAGAGGGGTCTCGGGATCCAGCGTTTCTCGGATATCATCACTGCATTTTCTTATAAAATGTGGTGGCGATGTAGGGAGGGCAAGTCACTTTGGGCTCAGTTTCTTCACCGGAAGTACTGTCCTGGAGGCGCTGCCCATCCCTGTATGGTGACGGCCACCGACTACGATAGCAGACAGTGGAGGCGACTCACCATAATTGGTAGACGTGCTCACGAGCACATTTTTTGGACTCAGTGTGTAGGGGATGTTAGCTTTTGGGATGAGTGGTGGTTCGGTGAGGGTCCTCTTTCGAGCACTAGGCAGGTCACCCACCTTCCCTTTCTACAGGTGAGAGACCTGTGCACGGAGGGGGGTTGGGATAGGGATAGGTTATAGAGGATTCTGGGTACAAGAGTGGGCTTTAGTGATCAAGTTATTGATGAGATCCAGCAGATTCCTATCTCGGAGGGAGGTCCCGACGGTATGAGGTGGAGACTTACATCTTCGAGTGCATTCTCTACGACCTCGGCCTGAGGGGAAGTACGGCAGGGTGACCGGCTTAACCTTCTCTTCGGGGCCATCTGGACCGACCTACTTACACCGACCATCTCTGTTTTCCTTTGGCACCTCCTTTTGCGCCGTCTACCGATTGATGCTGTGATGCAGGCGAGGGGATTCTCCTTCCGCTCGCGTTGCTACTGTTGTGCTCAGACAGACGATTTTCAGACTGAGACCTTCTCCCATTTATTTTTTG